GGGGGGGGGGGAGGTCGCAAAAATTATTTTTCCGGAAAAATTTTTTTGGCACTAGTCGGGCAGAATCCCGAAAAGTCGGGCAATTTTCTTTCCGCCCCCCTAATTTTTTCCTTCCGGTACGCCCACGACTAATTATATCTGATCAAAGACGAAAAGGAGTGATTTGAATAGCTTAAAATACGACTACAAAAGAATACTAGCTAATTAGGATGAACAATTATATAAAGAATACTAATGAAAATGAGTTTTATCAGATATAAAGTCACTCATTATGGCTTACATGATTTGCCACAAGGTTTATGAATTATTAATTAGTATTTTAAGAATAATTAGCAGTTGACTGGGGTGTGGTATATGGTCGTTTTCGTGTAAAGTATTATACTTAGACTTATTTTTCCTTCCAATAACCACCCCTAATAGCAACCCCTAGCTCTAATCACTATAAGCACTTCAGAAACGCTATCGCTTTTGCTTTTCGGAAGTTATAGCTATGTCGTCACTGCCGTTTCAGGGCGGGGTCATTTTCAGGACTTTCGTCCCGGATTCAGCTTTTAGCACATATGCCATGTTGACCGCCATGGTAATTTTATACCCTAAAACAATTGAGATTACAGCAAATTTATATATAACAATATATAAATTAAAGTTAATAAGACAACGTACACGTTTGTCACCTTCAAACCTGGTAAAATTCTCATAGTGACAGGATATGCTTGCCAATAGCCACAAAAGGCGATATATAATAGTCCAAAGTTCAAGGGGTAAAGCGAATGAAAGATCAACTAACCAATCATATGTCAACAACGAACACGCAGAACAAAGGTCAATGCGATAAGGGATTTCACTCCATCCATGCGATAAGGGATTTCACATCCAAACAAAGAGCAATGTCTGTTACTGGGAAAGAAAATTTCCACCCACCCGTCATGTTCCTTGTTCCCTTCATGTTCCTTGTATTGCAGGGTACTAAATAATATTATGCGAGGACTATTCAAGAACAATTTGTCAAGAAAGACTATCGAACAATTTTCTCATGGAAAATTATCACTATGTAAATACCTACATTGGTTTATGTTTAATTAAACAAATAAATTTTGGTTCGGGGTTGAAGTGTTCCCAATGGTCAACTTCAGGCCCATAGACTCAGCCATTTATGCAAATATAATCGGTCGAATCGTAGGTACTGTCCAAGGGGATTATGACTTCTTGGTTCAAGTTGATGGCAGAGGGGTCGCTACCCTTCTGGCAGGACTCTATTTGGGGATTACGACCCCTAGGGCATTCATTCTTTCTTAGAAGGTCTTATATATACCCCTGCGAGATGAAAACGTAAGGCTTAATTAGTCTTTGGGTTGACCAGAGTTTAAGAGTATAATCTATATAATTGGTTCACTTCGCCCTGAGCCTATTCTCCCACTATATGATTTGCTGTATGTTTTAATTATTTTCGGGCTGTTCTTTTACCTAACGTATTAATTAACGTGCTTAAATCATTAACTGTGGTAAATGAAACGCATACAAACTTCTATGCATGTCCTAGACTATATGTGATTAATGATTATTAATTATTTGGTTATTGACATTATTGACACAGCCCTGACGGGCTTTTCAGTGACAAGAATTACAAACACATAAACTTACTGCGTTATTACTACGTTTAGTCCTAATTAATTTTAATGAAACACATTACTAGCAAAACAACGACAATTTCACAACAACTGCTACAAGGATATCAGGAACAACTTACAACAATGACGATCATACCTAATTTTTAGATTTTTTATCACTGCATATTTATTTGCAAAGTTTAGCCGAGCAGAAGCACACCCTGCTTCTGGTTCTAAAGTTTAGCCGAGCAGAAGCACACCCTGCTTCTTCACATTTATTTGCAAAGTTTAGCCGAGCAGAAGCACACCCTTGATGACTCAAGATATATTGCATCAAATAGGAATCAGAGATAAGTTTAAGGCACGTGCTAAACATAATTCACTTGCAATTGTAATTTATAAAAGAATAAGGAATGATGTAGTTAAACAAATTGCCAATGCTAAATCAAATTACATCAAACAAAAGATCTGAGAAAATAAGGATAATATTACGAACTTGTGGAAGCTTTTGAAAGATATAGCGCCGACAAACTGCCCGTGGCCCACATTCCTGCGTGTATTAAAGTGAACAATGATTATATAACAGATCCACATCATATAGCAGAAGCATTTAACGACTATTTTGCTTCAGTTGGTTCAATTACGAACATTCCTACTGACTTAGCAATTACACAATCTGATTTAAACACACTAATGGATAACTTCGTTAAAAGCCAAACACCAAACTTTCCAAGTGAAAACAAATTCACTATTCCTTCTATAACAGAAAGCATTGTTGAATGTTATCTTAATAAAATACCGACTAACAAAGCAACGGGATTAGATGGAATCAGGGTTCGCATTTTGAAAGAAGCGTTACCGGCGATAAGTGCAAGTCTGACGCATGTTTACAACACTAGTATTAATGAGGGTACTTTTCCTGATGCATTTAAGCTAGCCAAAGTATCTCCTCTTTACAAAAAAGAATCCACCATAGAAAGAAGTAACTATCGTCCCATCTCTATATTATCAATGCTCTCTAAACCTTTAGAAAGACATGTTGCCTCGTCTTATTTGAACCATCTTACTGCAAATAACTTGCTTTATATAAATCAGTCTGCGTATCGCCTTTTCATTCTTGTGAAACATCACTCTTGAATATAACTGATAAATGGTTAAAGGAAATGGATAAGAGCAATCTTATTGGAGTCGTATTTTTGGATCTAAGCAAAGCTTTTGACTTAGTTAACCACAAGTTATTACTGTCCAAGCTGGGGAAATATCACACAAGTGACGGTGCACTCAAATGGTTTGAGTCATACCTAACAAACCGCATTCAAATATGCTCCTTTTCTGGCTGTTTATCAACACCACTAAATATCGATGTCGGTGTCCCGCAGGGTTCAATTCTGGGGCCTCTACTGTTTACCGTGTATGTGAATGATCTACCATTGTCACTTGAGAAAGCTGAGACGGACATGTACGCGGACGACACTACCAACTGGGAAAGTGCAACAAATTGTGTAGAAATTTAACTAACGTTAAATTCAGAGCTAAGCAAGGTTGGGGATTGGTTAACACTGAACAATGTGAAGCCAAACATCGAGAAAACAAAATATATGGTCATTGGCACGGCGCAAAAACTTCATCATAGTCCTAGGAACTCGATGGATTTGTATTTGAATGGAACTAAACTTAATAAAACAGACGAAGAAAAACTTTTAGGAGTAATGATTAATTCTAAACTATCGTGGAATCAACAGATTGACCATCTTATCAAGAAACTAAATAGTCGAGTGTATCTTCTGAGGAGAGTCAAACCGTATTTAACGATAGTGTGTAGAAAACTATTATATAATTCTTTGATTAAATCCATTTTTGAATATTGTTGCACAGTCTGGGGAAATTGTTCAAAAGGAAATCTTGATAGATTACTGAAATTGCAAAAACGTTGTGCAAGAATTATACTTGATGCCAATACAACTGCAAGTTCAGTTAATCTTTTCAATGGCTTAGAATGGCTACCAATTGACGATATTATTAAAACTAATAAACTTCTTATGCTCTTTAAGATAAGTCGTGGCATTTGTCCATAATACTTTGAATCCTATTTCACCTATGTAAATACAGTTCATAAATATAGCACTAGATCAGCTAATAACAAATTAAATATTATTACACCAAAATGTAAAAATAATTCTGGCCTTAGAACTTTCCACTCGAGTGTATGTCGTCAGTGGAACAAGACAGACTTGTCAATTAAGAACATTGCCTCTTTTGCAAATTTTAGAAAAGTAATACACTCTAGCTTTCAGGAACAATATTGTTCAATTGAACACTTCTGCATAGAAAAGACTTATTATATAGAAAATTTAGTATTTGTACAAATTTGGTAGATTTATTTATTGCATAGCTTAGTGAGGGCCATCATGAAAATTACTGGGCAACCAGTAATGGTGTTTTTACCCTCAGTAAATAAAGTATTTTGACT